AACGAAAAGCAGCCGGCGGCCACTTCATCAATCTTACTGCTTCCTGGGTCACAGCGGCTCTAGCAGTAAGATGGATGAAGTGGCCACCGGCTGCTTTTCGTTTTCTGAGTCACGATCCCGTCCGTCTGCTGCGATGTCCGGCTCCATCCGTCCTCCCACCCTCTTCACAAGCAGGCAAGCCGCCCTCTACTCCTACACGCAGACGGGCTCCGGCTCGCCCCTCCTCTTCACAACATAGGCGTTTGACTACGGCCGCCCCGCACGAAGGTGCCGCCCTAGGCAAACGCCTAGTTTGCCTCGCGGTAAATACGCCCCCTGTGTACACCGTCTCAGGGGAGGAAAATGCCTTTCCCTGAGATCTCATGAGATTACAGATGAGATTTTCCAGCAATGCTCTGCTCATGTCAAGGCAATCCCAGTGTGCATCGCTTTGCCAATCTGAAGTCATTTTGCCCTTTCAAAACAGGAAGTAAATGTTCTGCAAGTGGAAGTATTTCACAATCACCTGACATGTCTGTGTTCTTATTAATCATCATACATAGAGGGAAGCATGGGCAGAATTAGATTTTTTGAGTGTAAAGGTCTGCTTTAAAGGAGAACTATGGGGGAAAACGCTGACCCCATAGTTCTCCTTTAAGGTACGGACGAGTGATACAGGATGATGTATCTTATTACTATTTAATATCTTCCAATAAGTTTGAGGTTTTCTTTTAACCACATTGGGAAGGTTGATCCTCTGGATCTGGCATCTGTTTTTTTTTTTTCCTTTTGAAAGAACGAGAGTTCCTATTAATTTTGCATTTTACCCAAGACGTATACATACATAGAGGAGACCGGCCTGTAAAAGGTGACAGGTTGTAACATTTGCCAAGTGAAAGGAAATGAGATCGTCAAATAAAATGTAAAATAATGTGGAGATCTCAGGACCTCATCCAGAGATTTCTACATTCAGTAGCAACAATATATTTTGTGTTGTTTATGCCGATCGTTGGAGCGCGAGTTCTTTATGTGAAGTCCTTGGCGAGGACAAAAACCAGCTATAAATATCCGTAAACCTTTCTAGAGTGAATGTTGTTATTGGCATTGAGGAAGGAGATCGCTATTACCTGAGAACAAAGGGATACAACTGGCGAACAATTCTATAAAGTGCAGTCTGCAAACGATCTTCCGGAGAGGAGGGAAGGAAGGAGAGGGGGAAGGAAGGAGAGGGGGAGGGGGCTAGCTCAGGATAGCTCAACCACCCATTCCAAATTTTTGCAAATTTACGTAAGGTGCCTCGTCGTTGGTTGGTCAGTTTTTCGAGCTGCACTGTATTATTGAATGCACTTTGTCTACCCAGGATTGCAGTGTAGGAGGATGGGGGGGAGACCACCAAAGCTGTACAATGCTCCCTCCTCAACTCCTCCCATGCTCGTCTCCAGGACTCCTCTAGCGTCCCTCACATTCTTTGGAACTCCTTATCCCAACCTGTCCGTCTATCTCCCACTCTGACTGCCTTTAGAGATCCCTGAAGACTCATCTCTTCAGTGAAGCCGATCCCACCTCAACCTAACCACTGAACCATCACGTTCTCATACAATTAATCCCCACACAGCTCCCTCCTCATGTATCACTGGCCCCTCCCTTTTAGATTGTAAGCCCTCAGGGGCGGGGCCCTCCTTACTTTAATGTCTTCAAATGAATTGTGTTGTAATGTCTTCCTTATATTGTAAAGCGCTGAGCAAACTGTTGGCGCTATCTAAATCCTGTATAATAATAGATTTCCTCAGCTCATTCTACATTGGAAAGAACATCCGGAAAGTTCAAGATCCCCAAAATGCCCAATAATGGGTCTGGGGAGCGTTATATTCCCAATCGTCTGGTTGCACGATACCCCTATCTGGAAGTCCGGCAAACACCCCTATGTGAGTATTGGTCATCTATCCCAGGGGGTAGCCAAACTCTGGGCCTTCAGCTGTGGGGGCGCTACAAATCCCACGATGCATTGCAAGATTCTCACAGCCACAGACATGACTCCCGGAGAGAGATGCATCATGGGATTTGTAGTTTCACCACAGCTGGAGGACCAGAGTTTGGCTACCCCTGATCTAGCCTACAAAAATCAACTTGAACTATATCTCCCCATATCATCTAAACTACTACACATCAGTAGTCAGTTCTATACCGGGACTTTTGTCTTCATTTTTCTTCCCCCATTTTTGGGGGATTTTCTTCCCCTTCAAGTTGTATTTCCAATACTTGGTTGCTAGCAACTCTTCCTGCCAATATTTGATTTTCGAACACTTTTAGGACATCAGATCTCCCTGCCCGGTGGGGAAAGAGTAGGGATGGTCTAGGAGAAAAATTGATATGATCGTTGAGGTGTCCAGTATAGTCCACTTCCTGTCCTAGTGGCCATACAGGAAATTAGGGGAAAACCTCCCCCTATCGGTAATGGCTTGATTGGTAATAGTTTTTTACCAAACCCCCCCCCCCCCTTAATTAACCCTCTGATTAGAGATACTATAGCTCTATGTGGAAACAGTTGGGCTGTACCAGTCTCTGGATGAGCAAAACTGACTGATTGTAGTTTGCTGAAATTTCTGCAACTTTACTTGGAAGCGAAGGGGAGCTTTAAAGGAGAACTATGGGGTCAGGGCTTTTCCCCATAGTTCTCCTTAGGGTAACGGGAGGACACAAACTAGCGTCCTCCCATCACCCTAAGCTCAGTATATCGCGAGCTGTAGCTCGCGGTATACTGAGACGCTGAAGCGGATCCCGACAATTGTGCCGGGATCCGCCCAGCTGCGTGAGTGACAGCTGGCTCTGCCTATCTAGAGGCACAGCCAGCTTTACCCGCCCCCTCCCCCGTCCGTCCCGCCAGTCAGCGCTGGAGGATCGGAGCGGGGAGGGGGGAATCCAGCCCCTCCCCTGTCACGGCAGAGAGCCGTGACAGGATGGAGAGGTGAGCGAACGCCGCTATGTGTTCTCTCACCTCCCGATCTACTGAGCCGACCTGTGACAGTCTCATTGTCACAGGTCGGCTAGAACTATGAGGAGGAGTGAAAAGCACCCGCCTCATAGTTCTCTTTTTAAGGTGTTTTTTTTTAAGGCTGCAATAGGTCTCCAAGGTTTTATTTATTTGTTTTCATTTTCTGCATTTTTCTTCGCTGAATTTTATTTATTGGCATATTTTGTGAATTGACATTTATTTAGACATCAAGAAAAAATGGGCAAAAAATAGTTTAAGACCGTACAAGCACAGCACAGAATTGTTTTGCTTTGCTTATTTTTTTACTTTTATTAGATATTTTTTTTTAAATAAAACAAATTACACAAAAAAAATAATAATTTGTATTTCCTCTTTTTTTTTATGTCATGTCTTTGAATTTGTATAAATGACTCGTTTTTTCCTTTTTTGTTATCTTCCTATTTGTCTAAAAAAAAACTTCAAGTAACAAAATACACATTATGGGGGGCCAATGTTTTCACTCAAGACTCACAATTTTTTAAACTCGGTTTTGAACAATTTGTGAACTTTTTGGTTAAAACACAGTGCGGCAAGGCGAGATCAAAGGCCAAATGAATGTAAAATTGGCAGCAAAATAAAGTTCTTTGAAATGTTTCGCTCTTTGCTATGTATGGTGCAATATCAGACAACATACGTAGCCTTGTGTTGGTACTTACTCCCGGTGACGCAGTCGAATTCCTTCTCCGACAGCTCCGTCAAGCTCCGCCCCTTAATTTTGCCATCTTCCTCGCATGGCAGTGGGGGCCAAATAGCGATGTTTTTGCCGGCCCCGTGTACCCATTGCACCAGCCACTTGATCTGACAGTCGCAGTGTAAGGGGTTCCCACGCAGGTCACTGCAATAGAATAACGGGGCTTAAAAAGGTTTAAAAACTCAGAGGGGGCAACTACGTTAACGTATGACTCCGCCCTCCGCTTGGACGGTGTGTCCAGGTTTACTGCATATTTAATCACCATTTCATCAATACATTCCCAATAATAATTTTTTTCCCCCGACCACCATCTGTTGATGCCGAACTCCTCCCGTAGCGGGGATGACAACTCTCCAAAACGAAAACCACTTTTGCTGTTCTTTACAGGCAGCTCTATAGCGTTATCCAACTAAATGCACATAGTAAAATTACATTGAGGATTGCACTTCTTTACAATAATGTAACATGGAGCTATGGTG